TTGTTGAGGAAATGATTTTATCCTCATCATCCATCATCTGATGGTGTATTCAAGTGAGAATCCAAAACGTCAGGCGAATAAAGCGCTTGTTAATGCTATCGCTTCTTCTTCTGATCAATTATTTCCTGGAACTCGCATCTTCGCTTGTATCGGTAACACGTTTATTAGCCCAGGTTGTCGTCCTCATACAGGAGACCATCGCCAGAGGCTATGAGAGTGCAACGACGGCTGGAAAACCTTAGTCTCCTGTACGAGTCTGAAAACGCAGGCTGACAAATCCACTGTTCTGGCGCTCACGCGTTTACCTTCCTTTAAACGTGAACCATTCGTGAAGCCATACCTACGGACGCTAATTATTTGCACAAGCTGATAAAGTTGGCGTGACGAGACCCCTGTAGAATGTATGCGTTGTATATAATGAATGCAAGAGAATATCTTATGTAAAGCAAGCTTAAAGGTGTGGAACTATGGTTATTTAATGTGCCAGGTCCCAGTTCGGTCGTCAGACATTTTGCCGAACAGACTTTTTCACACCTGACGACGTCAGTCTGCATGCACACCATGCTAATGTGTATTATTCAGATGTACAAGCGGACCGCCCGAAGTAGCCCCTGTTGCAGCAAGACAGGCGAAACGGTATTTCAGTTTCCCTGTGTGTACTTGGTCTTTGGGTGAGCTCACATCCATTGAGCAACGTGACCACACTACGCATGGCCGCTACTGCTGTTGCCAACACGCGCTTGCACAGTAGCTTAGGGTAGCTTGAGAGAACCTTATAAATCACACGAAATGCTTCACCGGGTTCCACACGATGCATGCGCAAGGATGGTGCTGTCTATTCTCCTAGTTTCACCATTTGCCAGTCATGGGAGTAGGTGCTCTCGCATTCTTTTGGAAAGTTGCCGACTCGTACGACCAATATAACATAATCCACAGGTTTTTTCACTCACTGTACCCCAACCATATAACTTTACTGGCCTGACGAGAAGCTATCGAAAGCAACGTTCGCTTGACACCTTTTATTCAGATGAATTTGGCCCACAATTCGAGTTTGGCATATTTTAACTTCAATTTGTATTGGCGTCCTCGAAGATGTGTCAGCCGCCCCAGTTCAAAGAAATCGTCAAACTGACGAGCCCAGTCTAGCCCTCGGACGATCCTGAAGGCCAGGAGCATATCCCCTCCGTATTGTCTTTAAGAGAGATGAAATATTTTTAGCTTCTCCAGCCGTCTCTCATAAGGTAAGCTACTTAATCCACCAACTAGCTTGGTCGCTCTTCGTTGTACGTTATCCAGTAGGGTGTAATCTCCTTTCGTCTAGCGACAGCGTGCCTGAACGCAATATTCCAACACTGGTCGAACGAATGCTCCAAGTACTCGGCCGAAAAGGTCTTCGTTAAAATTGAGGAATGATCTTTTAATCGTCCCTAGGATACTCATAGCTTTATTTGATACCTTGACGCAGTGTGACGATGGTTTGAGATTTGACGTCATTCACACATCGAGGTCTCTCTACTGGTTAACTGATTCGAGTTGGTGACCTCCTATAAAGTAGTGAAATTCAAATCTCAATGGCCACCTGTTGCGCCATCGTAATCGGATAAATTGGTATTCGTTACGACTGAGGCTAAGACACCCCTCATCACACCATTGTTGCAAGTGATTCAGATTGTTTTGTAAGTGTACAAATTCCTCCGGATTCTCTATTGATTCCCATAATTGGAGCTCATCGGGAAACATTGGGCGCTGGTAGTTTAGACAGTCCAGGCAGTAGTTCGTATATATTAAGAAAGGAATTGGACCCGGAACGCTCCCCTGCCAAACGCCACTGTGTACGGATACCCATTTCGATTTAGCGTTTCCGATACACACACACTGAGATCTGCCCGTAAGAAAATCACTAAACATTTCAACAGATTTCCAGTTGCACCCACTTGACGTAGTTTAAATATAAGTCGTCTTTGTGAAACACTGAAAAAGCATTTTTGAAGTCAATGTACACGTCGTCGACTGATAAGTTCATGTCGGTTAATTTCGTCCAGCTCTCCAAGAATACTGACAGGTTAATGAGACAGGACCGACACCTTCGAAATCCATGCTGATGCAAACAGAGCAAGTTGTTTTCTTTAAGATGCCGCATCAGTTCCGTTTTTCCTACCTTTTCCATAAACTTGCAACAGATGCTTGTGAGACTCACTGGTCTGAAACTATTTGGGGCTGTTCTCTCGCCCTTTTATATATGGGACTTATATTTACTTTCTTCCAGCCGGTAGGCAGAGCCCGGTCTCAATCGAAGTTCTTATGATCCTGTATAACGGAGAGGCCAGTTGGCCCGAGAGTTCATTCAGGACTTTTGCGAGCACGCCGTCCGGACCAGGGGACTTAGTGGGCTGTAGTTGACTCAAATGTTTCATTATCGTGTCTGTCGTGAAGTCCACCGTCAGGTTTTTTCTCCTGTAAAATTAATTCCAATCATTTTCGACTTTTTGTATGAAGTTTTTTTTCCACCCCTCACTAATCATGTTTCCCAATGGACTACTAATTCAGAAACTATGAATTGTATTTTGTAAAGATTCTGCCTACCTCGTCTAAAACTCGCATGTAAATTTATTTTAACTTGCTTTTATGGGACCCCGACGAGTCTTTAATAAAAATTATCTATCAATCTAATCGTACAGTTTGACATGACAACTTGGGGGTAAACGCCTTCATCAAAAGCCGATTCCTCGGTATACACGGACGTGAAGAAGTCGGAAAACAGGTTCGCTTATCTGAATCGTCAGATAACGTATTTCCTGGCGATCTTTTAGACAGGGGATGCAGTCCTGGTTGCGTTTTCCCTTATTTACGTAGTCAAAGAATTTATGGAAGTTTGCGGGATATTTTTGAGTATTTTTAACCGCTGTTCTGTCCTTACATCCCTGCCGACCCCTTTCCTGCTGTTATCGCAGTTACCGTGCCATATTTGCGCTGTAAGTCGGCACTTTTCACGGCCGACTGTAGCCGACAGCACTGCAGTCTCCACCAGTTGTGTAGTTCTTTCGTTGGTATCACCTCCTCGTTCAGATGGATCATCCCTCCTGCCGTAATTCTCATCTCCTTTAGTGTTTTATATTTTCTGATGTGTCGGTCTCACTGTTCTTATTATACATATATCGTGATGTTTGACTTTTCTTACACGCAGCTTGGATTTGATTGATAACCCTTTCAACAACTATCTTCAAATCAGTATAAGCCAGGAGTTATATGTAGTGCTCCACGTTACCCCGTGTGTACTACGCTCCAAGTCTGCGGCCGCTACAATTCCTTCGAAATGATGCTAGTTCACTGTAAGGACGACCTTGCGGTTGCATTGCAGATAAGCAAAACGAAGTAAAATATCAGTACATTTGGGGTGAAGTAGTCCAAATGTGAATTGAAAGCGTGGAAGTGGCTGCTCAAATTCAAAAGTCCGCGCAACGGAATAATGCTTGAATCAAAGTCACTCATTTACTACTAGATTATCGTACATAAGCCTACGTAAATATCTCCCATCCATAATGAAATCTCTTATAGTTTCGGCACGAATAGCAGTACTCTTCTGTGATTTGCATGAAAAATCCCTGTCTCCAAACGAATATTCATTGCAAACTAATTTCTACTGTTTCCTTTAGCTCGCTAAGTCAGGTGACGGATTACCTTCTACAGAGTACTACTTGTTTATAGTCTCTCACATGGCCCATGCGTTCGAAATCTCCCAACACTTTCGAAATTCACCCAGGCAGTTTATAAGGTGACAGGACGACTGATGTTAAAAATATATTGTATTTCCATGGAACAAGTTAACGCAAACAAAAGCGATAAATCCTAGACTAAAGCTAAGCTTTTTTGGGACGACAGACGGTCCAACTGCTTATTTGTGAATTAATTGCCAATTCACTAATTAACAAAATGTTGTTTACCATAAGAGTTCATATAAGCTAATGGAACAACGACTCATCATTTGAATAGTTCCCAAAATTAACAAGTGGTGAATGTCTCCGGTCTCACAAGGGATCTGGAGATTCCTGTGGTACCTGAGCAAGACTCACCCTTCTTTATCGACCAGCTTAAAGTGGACCTAGAAAATGGTTTCTTTACCTACTAGGCAGTATGGAATCAGTTAAAAGACAGAATCGGTCGAATACGTCAAAAGACACATGCAGCTTATGTACGGGAGCAAATACACATAGTAGACTTTACGAATTACCGAATTACTGATATCTACAGGTCAGCAATTGACACCTGGGCTTTAAAATTTTCAGTAGTAATGGTAGATTTATATGGTCATAGGGCTTGCATTTACTTGACATGCCTATGATGAACGGCGCACCAATTTCTCCAACTTAATAAGACCAGGATTGGTTCCGAGGACTTATGCATATGAACGCTCCTAAAGTGTCTACGTCGAAAGTATATTCAAAAGACCCATAATCACCCGAATTTTATTAGGTGGATGACGATGTTTCTAAATTGGATGGCAAATAAGTCGAAAACTGCAGTGCAAATAGAACCCGAGCTTTAAGCATCGGTTCATTTAAGGTATAAAGCATGGAGTATCATGCTCCCGTGGAGCTTCAAAACAACAGATCTGGACAAACTGAAAATATATTGAAGGTGGGAGCAACCTATCAATGACGGGGAATATGCGACTCACAATTTACAAAATCCCAGACTTTAGAATGCTATTAATTAGGGAAATCTTTGTCAGCCGTCTTCAAGTAAGGCGTCAGACCGAAGAGTATTCCCCCAAGAATGAGCATCTTTAGGTTGTGATTCCCGACTAGGGAAATTTATGTAAGGAGTTATGTAAGAAAAAATCACTCTCACTAAGAGCCGAAGTCGCAGATATCCGTTTTACAAACTATCTCACAAAACTACTCAAAGAGCTGTACATTCGGTGTCCTGATTGTCGTAGCCCGTTTAACTGAACTGAAATATAGGGGGTCGAAGTGGATTTAGTAACTTTTATCTTGCACAAGATGATGAGCGTTGGGGAGGTAATTCACCCTTTTCTGTACTATGGTTTCGGAGGACGAGGAAAAAGCTGGCACTGTCGGAATACTTTTCTGCAGCGAATGCAACAATATGCTTTATCCGAAGGAGGACAAGCGGCACAAACGTCTGATGTACGCATGTCGCAATTGCGACTACACACAAGCAGCGGACAACCCGTGCGTGTACGTCAACAGACTCGAGCAAGAAATCGAGTAAGCGTCTGTGCGAAAATCAGTTTACAGTTTTTATAGCCCTTTTTATTGATCTTAAGGCTTAGCCGTGCACATGCATGCTTTTCCTATGTTACCGCGAATAACAAACCGCCCACAGAATACTGTGGTAGAGCTATCATATCCATGCTTTTAGCGGCTTTTAGCGCAAACATGTTATTTACAGGATTTCAGTGGCATCTTTATAGTAACAATGAACAATTATGCCCACGCGGACTTGGTTACCAGGGGGTAGCCAGTAAATCAAGGGGCAAGGAAACCACTTGTAAAATTTTTCAGTCGTTTAGCGTCATGAAACTGTTCGAGTGCTGGTTGAGCAACGAGTCAACGTCGAATATTAGGCGTGGTCCGTTGCGTTCGCAATTTCTTTCCTCTCGCGTTAGTACCTCTTTTACGCCGCTTCAACCACCGCCAAACCTTAACACAACTAATTGATCTCACTTATTAACCGTCACAGAACACTAACAGTCGTGATTTTGTGGGTAGTTTGGAATCGCTGAGGTCAGGCTGCTTTAGCTTCCTCATCATGTGACCACAACTGCACTCACGTGAGACTTGAGATTCCTCTGTTGAAGCTTGGAACGCGGTAAGTTGCGGCGCGTTTCATTAGTCGCATACGTAGATGGACTTTTTAGCCTTGCCATCCTTTTCGATCGCGTCCTGAACTTGTTCTTTCATAAGAACCCGATAGGCGCAGGTCCACTGGATCACGTTAGGATTGGAGAGAGCGAGTGAGGCCGATGTTACGCCCAATGGTACAGTGCGCGGAAGCAAACGCGCTGCTTTCCCAAGTCAGTAGTGGTCACAGTCGTGTTCTTCGGACGACTTGCTGACTCAAACAACCATTAGTACCAAAACGTGCATAGACTGGGTGAGGATCTAGAGGTGAGCACGATGAACGGGTTGAAAGTCCCCTTAGATGGAAAAGGAATGAACCCATTCTAAACCGCTCTCGGTATGCGCCGACCAGAACTCTTGGAAGCGGTGCGATTCGTGAATCGTTGTGCGTCCCGCAAATTTGGGGCTTGCAGGTCATTTGGCCCTAGAATTATGTGCACTTCGTTTAGTAGATGGTGGTTTGATTACAGGCTTAATTTTCGCCTGAGCCACGTCGATTATTTTCAGGCTTTAAATGGCAACTATAAGACCGGCTAACTCGGGTGGCCCGAGACAGCGGGACCTATGATCAGAATGCCTAACGTTGATTGTGACATGTTTGAGAAATAAACAGCCAGTACTTCTTTGGGACTAGGCCACCGTCGAAGTTTCTTCCCCTTGCCGCATTTTTTCACTCTTCGTTCTTGCTCATAGTACTTCCTACACTTCTTGGGTTTAGTGAACTGGCTCTCATTGTACCGGACGTAGTTCACGATCCCACTCTTCCCCGCACGGAGGACCACATCTGTCGTCGCTGTGGAAAACAGGAGGCGGTATTCTTCCAATCGCAGACCGTCAAAGCCGAAGAGAACATGCGACTGTACTATGTCTGCACCAATCTCGACTGCCTGTACAAATGGACCGAGTAAACTTCTCCACCACGCCACTATGCTAATCATCATTAGCACCACAGCGTCTGCTTGTATATACGTGTGCTTCTTTCTTTAAAGTTGTCTTCCTCTTCATTCATGGCAGTGATTTCTCGAGACATATTTCCTGTACGATTGCCCGTGGACCCAAGTACCAACTATTGTCTGACTTCAGACAACTAAGGTAGTCACTGGTTCGATCTGCCAGCTAATCTGGATCGTATATTCACAGGAAATTAGCGCCTCTTGCAGGCTGGAAATCGGACGCTTTCTTTTGTCTTCAGACTTCTGCTTGGAGGCCTTGTAGGTCGTCGCACATCGAAAAGACCACCTGCTTTCCTGTGACTAGTGGCCGATAGACCGTGCAGATTGATAAACGATTTAGTTTTCGAAACTACAGACGGATTCAGCATACAATTGCAGCACTTCCATCCAGATTTATAAGGACAGAGGAGACAGCGGCGACTTTCAATGTACTTGCCTCACTCGAATTTCTCACTCAAGCTTCGTCATAGTACCGAGACATGATTAACCAGACTCGGAGATGGACGTAGGCCCTGGGATAAAGATTTCCTCTGATTGCTGAAGCTTCAGAAATAAATTTCCCTGTAGAGACAACCACGCGATATAGCCAAACAGAGCCGGCCTCGTCCACTTCCTTCTTCCCAGCGTGTTAGTGCCCTACTCGAATCACGTTGCGATGCGGTTTTATTGCACTTTCTGGCGTGACGTGGAGCGGCTCAGTAGCGAATGCCACACTTGGGTTCAGATACCACATTCGCGAGGGTCGCCATCAAGGCCACGTTTAGGAGGAGGAAGCCTCGGAAACTGACCCTTAGTTAAAGGGCGGACTGAGCTATCTTGCCAGCAGGGTGTCCCACCATGTCGGGACTATCAGCCTGTCGGAGGTAGTATAGTGTGGGGTCGGCCCCTATGACGATCCACACGGGAGATGCGCTGGATCAATAAGTGGGGCAGGCTAGGCCACGGCATCTGTTAACCCGGCTGCGCAGAGTCGGTACATCCCATAGCAACTGCGATCGCCACACCGCGTCGACCAGAAGAGTCGCGCGGACCGCTGTGGTACAGCGTAAAGTGTGACTCGACTCTAGGGATCTTCATTTCGCGGGAGCCTGAGTCAGGGGGTCGAACTTCAGACAGACAACAGACATCCACGTTGTACTGATCAAGGCTGCGTGCGGTCAGACTTTGGGTACCGGGATCCAGGAACGTTTGCACATTCCAGCATCCAATACCAAGAGTCCGTCCCCGATTGAGTAGTCCAACTCGCATACTATTCGCCCGCACCGCTGGACCAGGGTTACGGAGCGCGTCGGTTCCCGCGTACGCCGTAGCATGGGTCGTAATACTGTGAGCGGACATATTTCATGAGGTTTCTTGGGAATTTCGAGTACGGGCGGGTCCCCAACAGTCGCTCGGATTGTTTGTTCGAAGTTGTCTCCTCTAGCGCTCTGGCTTAAACGCCTAACCACAAGGCAGCGATGACGACGGCGGTTTACGGTCGCCATGTCACAATGCCGTCATTGGGCTTTGCGGCTTTTTATAAGGCTTTCAGCGTGCCAGACCTCAGCCCACCGCACTCTGGTAGCAATGTTGCTGCTGGTCCGCGACTGCTTATTCGTCGGATCTGGATCTGCTTATTTCGCAGCTAACCTTCACTGAAGGTCGTACCACTATCCGCCACCTGTGGACGCACTTGGTAGCCAGCAGCTAGGCTAACAGGCAGCCCGTCTTCCTCAGCGGAGGCTGCTTCCTAATGAACAGGGTAAGGACGACATTGTCTCCCGAATTGATGCCGCCCGCTGGGTTTTCTCAGGCCTTCGGAAATGCCTATGGATCCGACGTGACCTCTCCATCGTCACTAAGATTCGCGTGCACCGTGCATCTGTCCGGTCTGCCTTTCTCTACAGTTGTGAATGCTGGGTTTTGCGCGTGGAGGACGAGTGAAGTACACCGACTTCTTCTCAAATGAGACAGTTCGCGCTCGCTGCGACAACATCGCAAGGATAACTCAGGCCATCCAAGAAAGACGACTGAAGTGGTTCGGGCATGTTCCTAGTCGTTCACCTTAGGGGCTCTGTTACTGCCCTCGATCCGGCACCGTTGCCCCATTGGAGGCGTCGAAGAGGGTTTCAGTTCAAAACCTGGCTCGACACAATTCGTCAAGACATGGAGGGATGGTTCTTGGACCTTCGATATTCGGTCTCCGTCGTTGGCGAAGGGAGTGGGTTGAGCAGTCCGGATCTGCTGCCGCGGATCGTCATGCGTGGAGAGGTACATTTCATGACATCATCGAGGTCGGCTAGATCAGGCATGATCGCAACCGTATCAAGTGCAAGTAGCAGCTGCGTGGTGGCACGATTAGACACAGGCTCACGCCGCACCTCTCACTGGCGCCCTATCCCCGCATCAGGTGGTTGACCGGCTCGGCCAATGAACTGGTGTCTAGGGAAGGGGGTAGGGTCGGCACTGCGGAGTCCATTCGCACCGTGCTTCAGCGCATTCCTCACTGTAAACAGTCTGATGCGCTTGAGCCTACCACGGTGCTCTAGAGGTCGTGCCTTTGATGGCCGCCAACTGACGGGGTGACTCGATCTCACGCAGAACAGAGAGACAAGCTACAATGGCTCCTTGTCACTGGGACCCTGGTGGCGCCCCCACTCTGTTGGGATGCTAGCCTCATTCACCCTCTTGTTTGTGTCAAAACCTAATCTCCCGTTCGCGGACCAGGTCGCGTGTGGCCCGCGTAGACGGGTTGTTTAGCTCTGGTGCCGTGTCCGATCCCACCTCCGGTCGTCCTGGCTCTGCCTTGACACCGGGCCCAGGAGGGTGCGGGAGAAGAGTGTGGCAGATACTGCGGAGAGCCCGCCATCGCTGTAACCGAATTACCTCGACGGTCAAACTGACGCGATAGTGGGGAATATGGACCGGACTGTCGTGAACTAGCCTCTGCCTTACGCCTTCCACGTGCATGCACGATGATAACTGACTACCCACACAGGCTTGGCGCATCAGGAGTAACACGCCGAAGGAGTCGATGTGGTTTCTGGTTTGGATATCGTTGCAACGACACGGCTCCCATTGTGGGACAATCGGGTTGTTCAGTCGGAGCTGAGAGGCCGCTCTGTCCCTCTGGTTGGGGTACCGTAGACCGCGAAGAAGTCCTGTGTTCCATTACGACCGGCATACTCCTGCATTTCCTCGGTCTTACGAGCCATCCAAACATCATGCATCTCCGTCGCAGCACGAGGCGGTGGTGGCGGAAGACAGCCGGTTTGTTGGCATCGGTTCGATAATTCATGTAGGCCTCGTACACCCGATGCTTTTCAGCGAGCGGTTGGCTGATGTCGGCGTCATTGTCGTCGAACCAGTCCTGGCGCTGACGACGTGCGCGTCCAATGCAGTCGATTGAATGGCATTCCGCATTTGTCATCATCGAGCCTCCAAGGCAGCGTTGTCTTCCGGGAACGCGAGCTGCTTAAGTCATGGTTCACAGGCCCCCAATCTATTAACGACCTTCCCCTTCTATACTCGGTGATGAGACTTCGCCTAGGAGGTGCAGCAGTTAACGACACGAATATCGGGTTTCAAACAGTCATCGCACCACGTGCAACGATCTCTGATGAACGGAGGGGGGCGGGAGCCGTGAATATACATAGGTACGCGGCAGCATGGCGACTGCATCCTATAAATACTGCAGCCCCTTGTGCATAGACCACGCGTATCTACTATTGTCTCTGATGATGGGGTTGAGCAGGAATCCGGAACGTCAGGCGAATAAAGCTCTTGTCCCTGCGATCGTGTCTTCTTCACAACTGTTTCCTGGGACTCGTATCTTCGCCTCTATTGGCAACCTAGTTACCATTCCCAACCTTAACTGCCAGCCCTTAGTGCCAATCCTAGAAATATTCCTACATTTCAATAATAACCGTAACGGTTACCCACGATCGCAAATGCCAGCCTCCAACTACGAAAACCAACGATTAACCCTGGTGAAGACTACTAAACCTGACACTAACACTACTCCTAAGAATTAACACCAACCCTAGTCATAATCCTAACCATATCCGCCAACCCTAATGCTTGTTAGTATACCTAACCATCACCACTAACCTCAGCTACTTACCGTAACTAATAGCCCATAACATCTAAACATAATTACTAATTATAACTACTAAACCACAACTACCTAACTCTCACCCTAACTGCCAAAACCGATCTTCGCTACTAACTCTAACTTCTATCTCTCCCCTAACTACTAGCCATAACCCTAAATGACAATCAAGACCTTGACTACTGGCCCCCCGCTATTAGCCCCAACAACTTGTCCTAGTCTATGCTACTGCCTACAACTGCTAACTCTAGCCGTAGCCACTAAACCTAATTTCTAACCCTAACCGTAATTACCTACCGTTACTTTGTGGCGGTCAAGGATGTGAGATCAACTTAAACCACGCACAATAAGTTCGTTTCGTCTAATGTCAGAAGTCAGGGAGCTGTGAGGACTAGTTTATTCTGTACACAGGGCAGGTTGCCGTGAGTTGGCTGTTCGCTTGCAACAGAGATGAGCGTCCGTTCACGGAGAGCGTCAGTCACGGTGTGTTGTTTACGCGGGAGTAAACGTCTGGGTCAGATGGAGGGGGTGACTGTCTGAGTGTTGGTCGTGTGATTGGACAAATTAGGGGAGGAATGGAGGGCGCATGCTCACAAGGCCTCACGGGTATCAAGCCAGAGCGTCCGACGCGTGTGAGGTGATACTAATTGTGAGGGCAGCCGGGAGTCACTGCAGCCGGACAGGAGGGACCCCAGTTCTAGCCGGCGTGGGTGGTCGTGTGTCAGCGGCCTGTCAGTGCTTGTCGAGGCAATCGGTCGACGAAACGGAGCCGGAGAAAAGGGGGGCTGGAGTGGCTGCTACAACTTCTAGACCTAAATCTAGCATTCATCACTAAACCTAAGCATAGCTGTCAACCCTGGCCGTA